TCCCTGCATACGTAATTTGCTGGAGCCCCCAGACTTCAGCGTCCAGAGTTTGATCAGTCACCAAGCGCCCCTTGAGGCACGCCTGAGCTTTTGACGCAGTCTCACGGGCCACACGTTCCAGCCTCCAGGAGAAAGCCAGGGACATAATCTTACAGTCAGTGCCTGCCATCGCTCGCGGTCGGCGCGCACCAGGAGAGCGAGAGGGAGACGAAGTGAGATCAGATGGATGGTCCCCTTCCGCCAGAAACACCAATCACATCTCACGCATGCTCACCGGGAGATCGGCACCACGATGGTCCATGAGATGGTAACAGAGATCGCATCGCACTGCAATGGGACTGGGAGATTTCCAACACGAATACACAATGCCGCCTGGCCCTGGCATGGAATCTTTACGCACACGAGCGAGTTCCTCAAACGTGTCGAAATCCAGATACACTGATCATCAGAAAGCTCAGGAACAGGAGCGATATGATTTTCCATACCGGCCCAGAGATCCATATCACACTCATGCTCCCCAAAAACCGCCTCCCAGTGAACAGCCAGAGCCTCACCAGCCTCCTCGGAAGATGCACACGGGACCCCATCCGAGCCCAAGATGTTCCCCAGAGAGGCCCTCTTCTAAAGTGGCCTCCAAAGCTCATTACGTCGTTGCAACCTCGAGCGCATACGAGCTTTCATGTAAGGCTCAGCCATGATGATGATGATGATGATGATGATGATGATGATGATGATGATGATGGTGATGGTGATGGTGATGGTGATGGTGATGGTGATGGTGATGGTGATGGTGATGGTGATGGTGATGGTGATGATGATGATGATGATGATGATGATGATGATGATGGTGTTGATGGTGGTGGTGGTGATGATGATGTCGATGCTGCCGATGAGGATGATGATGATGAGAGGAGGAGGGGGGGCAGCGGGAGGAGTGAAAGCGGGGACCGTCTCTTCAAAACGAGGACCCAACACCACAGGGTGGTTGGGAAAAACAACATCGATCCTCGACCTCAAACCGCGGGCCACAGAGGTCTGGACTCCTCTGGGCGCCTTGCCCCGGGGGCTGCGTGTTCCCCCACCACAGATGAGGAACGCCGTGACGATGAAAATCATCACGACGTACCCGGTAACTATGATTCGAATCGCTGCTGCTGCGACCAGACCATGCCCGAACGCCAGAGCGGGGTACCGTCTCGCCCGAGGCCTCATTTGAGACTTCGCACGGACTGCAGTGGCCACGGCCCCGCGGGAAAACCGCATGGGCTACCTGCTGCCGCAATACAATCGCTCGAGGCAACGCCTGTTCTAGCCGTCGATTACAGACGAAGGGGGAAAGTTCGGAGGCAGGCAAGGACGCAGCAGCGAAAGGAGCGAAGAGTAGGGAGTCCAGGCCAAGGGCGCCCAACTTCGCGCTTCGCGCTGCGCGAGGCGCGGATAACTTCGCGCTCTCGCGACGCCCCCCAGGGGAGAAGAGGAGGATGAGGAGGATGAGGAGCCGAATCGCGAAGCGCGAAGCGAGACAAACTTCGCGCCCTCGAGGGCGCCCTTGCAGGCGCCCAACATCCATCGCTGAGGGTCCCGGGGCCCGACATGGGGCGAACATTCCTGGCATGGATAAAATGCGACGCCAAGATGTCAAGACTGTTCCTGACTACCTACCAGACCACCCCAACCCAACCCAAGACCCGAATTTGACCCGAATTTCGGGTTGGGGGGGTACGGGTTCCATGTGCTTTTTCAATGTTCCCCGACCCCCCCAACTGGAAATGGAGGGCACATTGAGGCCTTCGGGTTGGGTCGGGGTGGTTTGGTGGGTGGTGAGTTCCTGACCCCACGAGGCCGAAGACTGCGCAACTCACGGCACGGGGGGGAGGCCCGGGCCGCCCCGGCAGGGCCTCTCGATGGGGCGGTATCGTCGTAGAGAGAAGCGCCATAGCGGCGGCGAACGCACCCACGAGCGGGCCAACCTCGCAGAGAGTGAATGCGAGCGTCGGCAGTCCGTGTGGCGTCGACAGGCGAATCTTTCTTTGGTTGTTCCGCGAGGGGCGGGAACGGGTGGTGAACAGTTTAACTCGATGAGGCCGCCTGGGAAGCAGCCTCTCTAGCCTGGACTCGCTCCAGGAATGCGAGCGTCGGCAGTCCGTGCGGCGTCGCCAATTTGAATGCCTAGCTCACGCTCAGGAGGCTCGGGTGTGGAGGAGAGAGAAGGACGTCTCTTCAGGACGCCTGCTTGGGTGGGAGGGGGTGGCGCGAGAAGCGCCCCCCGACCAGGAGGCGAGTCGAGGAGGAGGAGGAGGAGGTGGAGGAGGAGGTCGAGGAGGAAGGGGAGACAAGCGCAGAGAAGAGGGAGGGGGGAGCAGGAAAAGGGCGGAGGACGGGGAAGGAGGAGGGAGCAGAGGGCGGAGCGAGGAGGGCGGAGGACAGAGGAGGACGGAGAAGGAGGGAGGAGGAGGGGGGATGGATGAGGGACGAGGCTCGGAGCGCCCGCGGACAGCTCCTGCCGCCCCCGCCCCCGCCGGCGCCCTGGAGGCCGCCGCCGCACCGCCCGCGGCGGGGGCGGCGGAGCTGGCGGGCAGCCGTGGCGCCTGGCCGCACTCCCAACACGGGCCCCGCCCACGCGACGCGGGGCCCTCCTCCCTCCTCCTCCTCCTCCTGCTCCTCCTCCTCCTCCTCCTGCTCCTCCTCCTCATCACCATCACCATCACAATCACCATCACCATCACCATCACCATCACCATCACCATCACCATCACCATTACCATCGCCATCGCCATCACCATCACCATCACCATCACCATCACCATCATCATCATCATCATCATCATCATCATCATCATCATCATCATCATCATCATCATCATCATCATCATCATCATCATCATCATCATCATCATCATCATCATCATCATCATCAGCAGCAGCAGCAGCAGCAGCAGCAGCATCATCATCATCATCATCATCATCATCATCCCTCCTCCTCCTCCTCCTCCTCCTTGTCTTCTTCGTCGTCGTCCTCCTCCTCCTTATCCTCCTCCTCCTCCTCCTCCTCCTCCTCCTCCTCCTCCTCCGCCCCCTCCCTCGCGTCTCCTCCTCCTCCTCCTCCTCCTCCTCCTCCTCCCTCCTCCCTCCTCCCTCCTCCTCCTTTTCCTCCTCCTCCTCCTCCTCCTCTCTCCTCTCTCCTCCTCCTCCTCCTCCTCCTCCTCCCTCCTCTGCGCCCCTTTTCGTCCCCTGCCCTCGTTCCCCCTCTCTTACTGCTTACGTTCCCTCCGCGTCCCCTTCCCCTTGCACCCCCGTCGCTCGCTCAGCCCTCGGCCCCCTCCCTCCCTCTCTCCCCTCTTGTGAGGGGCAACCTTGGTGGGGGCCAGTTCAGGGAGGAAACATCGACCTGGAGTCGAGAGGCTCCCGATTGCGAACCACCACGTTCCAGAGCAGGGGGCCCCCATCGGCGATGAACGGGCGATTGGAGGTCGATGCATCCCCTCCTGAGCCTATCCCCCCCTAGCGTTGCCCCTGATCTGCCTCCTGCCCTTCCTGCTGCCCGACCACCCTTCCTCCTGCCCGCCCACCCCTCCCTGCCCACACCACCCGGGACTGCAGGCACTCCCCTTGGCCGCCAGGCGCCCCCAAAACGCGGGCCAGGGTCGTCGTCGTGCTCGCCGCCGCCGCCGTCCCCCGGGGCCCCTCCGACAGGTCGATGTAGGCGGCGCCGCCCTCCACGGCGCTGAGCGACACCCCCGCGGGCAGGTCCGCGAGGAGGCCTTCCGCGGACGCTAACAGCGGGCGCCGCAGGGCCGGCCGGGCTGCGACGACGGCGCGGGCGACGCCGACGACGAGGTCGACGGCGGAGACTAGCGGCGACGGCAGCGACCTGGGCACCTCGCGCATCGCGCACCCCTTCCCCCTCCCCCCTCCCCCCTTCCCCCTCCCCCCACAATTACTCAATATGAATACTACTCTCCCCTTCCCCTATGACGGTTTGAGTGCCCCACCCCCCGCGTACTGTTTACACACAGGTTTCCCCGGAGTTTGGTTTTCGCCTGCATTTTTTTTCGAAATGCTGCTCTCGCTGAGGCGCCGGCCTCATTTTCGGGCCCCGCTCGTTCCGAATCGTGCTCCCGCTGCAGCGCTGGCCTCATTTCCGTGCTTCCGCTCGTTCCGAATCGTGCTCCCGCTGCAGCGCTGGCCTCATTTCCGCGCTTCCGCTCGTTTCGACTCGTGCTCCCGCTGCAGCGCTGGCGTCATTTCCCGTGCCATGCCACGGCATGCAATGCAATGCTAGGTTGATACTACGCTTCGCGGTGCTCTTCTACGCCATGCCATGCCGTGCTCTACAATGCATCGCGTACCCTTTCGCGATCATTGCCCTGCTCGACATCCGACTGTGCGAGTAGAGAGGGGATCTACGCCATGGTAAGGGATGGGAGGGAGGGGTAGGATGTCAGATATGACGCGAGCGCACCTAGCTTGCCCCTCCCCCTCCCCCCTCCCCCCCCCCCTCCCCCCTCCCCCCCTCCCCGCCCCCCGCCCCCCGCCCCCCGCCCTGCGAGGCGCGCTGATCTTCGCGCCGTCGCGCCCTCGCGCCGACGTGCCCCTGCAGGAGGGCAGCCGCCCCGGCCCAGGCTGCGACGCGCAGCGCACGATCGTCTCCGCGCGGGTGATCCAGGCGACGACGACGGCGACGGCGGCCACGTCGACGACGACGACGACGACGACGACGGCGGCGGCGACGGCGACGGCGGCGGCGGCGACCGCGACGGCGACGACGACGACGGCGGCGGCGGCGACGGCGGCGGCGGCGACCGCGACGGCGACAGCGGCGACAGCGACGACGACGGCGACGGCCACGGCGACGGCGGCGGCGAGAGCAACGGCGGCGGCGGCGCCGCCGAGACCAAGCGTCGGAGGCAGCTCGACGTCGGCGGCGGGCGTCGTCGGCGGTGGGCCAGCGCCGCCGGGGGCGGGCGGGCGCACCCCGGCGAGAGCGGAGGAGCACGCGAGGTCGCAGCTCCAGAAGCGGAGGGGGGACCAGAAAGAGATGGTGGGGGGCTCGAGGAACCTCTAAAACACGGCTCAACAGAAGTCTGAAGGGTTCAAGCTTGCCCCAGCCCTGGAAGCACGGTCTCCTCGAGGGGTGCAGAAATTGCCGATCGACGCCTCCAGGAGTCCCGAGGCGCCCCCGAGAGCGCGAGGCTTTCTGGAACACTCTGGAACGGAGGAGGAGGAGCAGGAGGAGGAAGAGAAGCAGGAGGACGAGCAGGAGGAGGAGGAAGAGGAGGAGGAGGAGCAGGAGGAGGAGGAGCAGGAGGAGGAGGAAGAGGAAGAACGTTCTCGTCCTATTCCCGTCTCACTGCACCCTCCCCTATGGCGGCATCCGGGCCACGCCCCGGAACCCACCGAGAGCCTCCCAACAACGCCTGGAGCCCCAGCAGAACCAGGCCAGGTGACGACATCCGAACCCTGCAGTGGAGGCCCATCCACAGGAAACCTGACACATGAAACCCAACCTTGAGACCCCAGGACGTCCCTTGCGGGAGCATCACGCCTTCCACAGCAAAACCATCGAAACCCAAGAAACCCAGGGCACCCTGGAGGCAAGCAGGTCTGGTGGCATGGGTCTCCACTGCAGGTGACGACATCCGAACCCTACCCCCCGCTCACCATCGATTCTCCTGGATCGTGGATCGGCGAGGGTAGGGCTCGGATTTCGCCGCCTGCTCGACGACTTCCGAATCCTACCCCCCAGCCCATCGAGTCGCCTGAATCCTGGATCGGCGAGGGCACGGAGGGTTCGGACTTCGACGCCGCAAGGCTGCACTACACAGGTGCCGCGCGCACGAGCTCCGAGGGAACTTCGAGAAGCCGCCGACGAGGCCCCGAATGAGGGGCAACGCCGGGGGGGGGGGGCAATGACTCAGTGGGGAGAGCATCGACCTGGAGTTAGGTCGGGCGTGTCCTCCTACAGGCGGATTTCGAACGAAAAACAGAACATGGCCCTGACATGATCAAACAAATGCTTTGACATACTCAGAAAACGTCCCCAGACTACTGTTTTGACAATTTCTGAGTATTCCTCCTGTAGAGGGACACGCCCGACTTACACCTGGAGCCGTTGATACGTCGTCTGCACGTCGCCGACGCATCGGCCACAGGCCTCCTCCACCCTCCCGAGCCCCCCTCCTCGTCCTGCCCATCCGCCCCCCTCAACCCTCCATCGTCCCTCCTCCGCCCTCGTCCTCCTCCTCCTGCTCCTCCCCCCCGACCTGCCACGCCACTTCCCGCACTTTCCCGCATTCCTTTTGGAATCGACGATGGTAATTACATACGCACACATATGCGAATATTATATATAGTGGTGTGTGTGTGTGTGCGTGTGAGGGTGCATGTGTGTGCGTGTGCGTGTGCGTGTGCGTGTGCGTGTGCGTGTGCGTGTGCGTGTGTGTGTGTGATTGTGTTTGTGTTTGTGTTTGTGTTTGTGTTTGTCTGTCCGTCGCCGCCCCGCTGCTGCTAGCCCCTGCCCTCCCGGCGCTGCCCCTGCTGAAAGCCTGGCCCTGCTCTGAGCGGGCTCGGCTTCCGTCTCCCTCCCGCCGCCGCCGGGCGCCTCCTCTTTCCTCCTCGTGCATCATGGCGTAATTCGCGTTTCGTATGACCTACCATCGCCCAGTCCGCCAGCGCAGTGACTCTGCCTAGCCGCCGACGCAAAACGTGTGTGTGTGTGCATGTGCATGTGCATGTGCATGTGCATGTGCATGTGCATGTGCATGTGCATGTGCATGTGCATGTGCATGTGCATGCGCATGCGCGTGTCGTGTGTGTGTGTGTGTGTGTGTGTGCGTGTGTGTGTGTGTGCGTGTGTGTGTGCGTGTGCGTGTGCGTGTGCGTGTGCGTGTGCGTGTGTGTGTGCGTGTGCGTGTGCGTGTGCGTGTGCGTGTGCGTGTGCGTGTGCGTGTGCGTGTGCGTGTGCGTGTGCGTGTGCGTGTGCGTGTGCGTGTGCGTGTGCGTGTGCGTGTGCGTGTGCGTGTGCGTGTGCGTGTGCGTGTGCGTGTGCGTTCGCGTGCGCGTGCGCGTGCGCGTGCCCGTGCGCCTGCGTGCGCGTGCGCGTGCGCCTGCGCCTGCGTGCGCGTGCGCGTGCGCGTGCGCGAGCGTATGTATATGTGCGTGTTGCTTCTCCTGACATAATTCGGCTCTCAGGCGGCCGTCCTGGACGATCCGAGGGACGCCTCTCGGCGAGGCGCAGCTCTCGGCGAGGCGCAGCTGCCGAAACGCACCTCGAGGCAGCACAATACAAGCCTCTCAGAACCGACGAAAACGACCGAAAGCATTCGAACCCCCTGAGCCCATGCCCCCCCCCCCTTAGAACGTGTGCATCTCTATTATTTAATCGCTTCGCTCATTCCGCCGGCCCTGCAGCGCTATTTGGGGCCTGGGGGCCACTTGGGGCCGTCTTGGGAGCGTCTTGGGGCTCCTTGGCGGCGTCTTCGGCTCCCCTGGGGCCTTGGGGGCCCCTTGGGGCGGGAGGGGGGGTTGTCGATTGCAGCCACCCCCTCGGAGGCCACGATCCTCGTGAGGGGTGGCGAACAATAGCCTCCCCCCTGGGGATCGCCCGGGACCCGGCCGGGGATCGGCCGGGGCACTCTTCGTCCGGGGGCCCCCAGGGGCCGCCCCGCGCGCGCGAACTAGTGGGATGCACAGAGACATACTAATACTATGTGTCCGCCTTGGAGGCGCGCGTCCGACCCGAACATATAGTATACCCATCTTGTAGTATATCGTATGTTATACTATAAGGGTGCGCGCGTCGCCCCTGGGGGGGCGACGCACATATAGTATAAGTATGTTGGGGTGTTGCCGAACTAGGATTCTTGTTGAGCAGTTACCGGAGATCTTAGCACGCCTCTGGCCCGTTGGGCCGGCGAACTCGCGAAGACGCCCGTGACGGACCCCGCCCACACCCACCCCCTCCCCGCGGGGTCACGCCACGATTCGCGCCCGCGCCGTGTGGGAATGATCCCCTCCGAGGCATGCTCAGACGGCGCTGGTGGCGCGAATCGTGCCGCGACCCCGCCCTCTCCACCCTCCCCCCCCCCTTCCTCCCCGCCACGCCCGCACTCGCCAGGGGATAAAAACAAACCGTGCCTAGCGTTGCTGAAGGGGCCCAGGGACACACCCATAAATACACACACATAAACAGATTCCCCATTTTTTGTCATATTTTCTGGGCTTCTGTCTCCCCCCCCACTTCCCATATTTTCCCATATATTCTGGGGAATCGACGATTCATTGTGTCTGTGTGTTTTTTCCGCTCCTGCGTTGCCCCCGATAACACCCCCGAGATCCCCGAGTGCGCGCCGGGCGCGCGGGCCTGCAGGCTGGGCGGCGTCCGCGCCCGCGCCTGGCTCGCTGGGGGCGCCGCCGGAGGAGTCGTCCTCGCGCGCGCGCGCGGCGCCGCGCCCAGCGGGTCAGCGGCGGCTGCAGCCCCCAAATCCAGTCTGAGAGTTTTTGTTCGAACTAAGCATTTCAATATAATTGTTCTTCGAATAACGTTCTTTGTCACCAAATCTTGTCTCGTGTATCCTGTGCAGTTTTTGATGTTGAAATGCATCTCACATATCAGTGATATGTATGAGAACATGTCATTACTATGGTTTTTCTCGGCGGAGCCGGTTGTTGCACCACACCATGTTAGCCAGCGTGGGCCCCAACAGGCGTATGTCTTACCATATATGATGTGCGGCATATGATCGGCAATATGTTATGTGCCTTATATGAGCTATACATATATAAATGAATAAATAAATAAATACATACCTACATACATATATACATAAATAAGCACAAACAATAATAAATACATAAATACATGCAATAACTAATATATGTATACATAAATATGTATATGTATGTATATTTATATAGGTACATCGGAGGTTGGGGGGTGAGATCGCAATGAAACGGAGACCCCCAACAAGGGAAATCGTTTCGTTTCGTTCGTGTCGTGCGTGCGGGTGAGGCGCAGCTGCGTGGGCACGCGAGAGGAATGAACCCGCCGCTGCTAGGGCGAAATCAAGACAAATGATTCTCCCCCGCCCACCCGCCCGTCCAGCGATGGCTCGCGGTGTCCCGCGGTGTCCCGTGGTGTCCCGTGGTATCCCGTGGTGTCCCGTGATGTCCGCCGTTGCTAGGGCGAAGTCAAGACAAATGATTCTCCCCCGCCCTCCCGCCCGTCTGGCGGTGGCTCGCGGTGTCCCACGGTGTCCCGTGGTGTCCCGTGCTGTCCCGTGGTGTCCCGTTGAGTGAGATCGATAGTGAGACCGATAGTGAGACTGAGACTGAGATCGATACTCAGATCGATGTGGTGCCCCGGTGTCCCATGGTGCCCCAAAAAGTGAGATCGATAGTGAGATCGAAAGGTGTCCCGTGGTGCCCCGTGGTGTCCCGTTGTGTGAGATCGATAGTGAGATCGATACTGAGATCGATGAGGTGCCCCGAGGTGTCTCGTGGTGTCACAAAAAGTGAAATCAATAGTGAGATCGATACTGAGATCGACAAGTGTTCGACAAGTGTCCCGTTGTGTCCTGTGGTGTCCCGTGGCGTCCCGTTGAATGAGATCGATAATGAGATCGATAGTGAGTTCGACAGGTGTCCCGTGGTGTCCAGTGGTGACTCGTTGAGTGAGATCGATAGTGAGATCGATGTGGTGTCCCGAGGTGTCCCGTGGTTTCCCGAGGTGTCCTATGGTGTCCCGTTGAGAGAGATCGATTGTGAGATCGATAGTGAGATCGATACTGAGATCGATGCGGTGTCCCGAGGTGTCCCGTGGTGTCCCGTGCTGTCCCGTGGTGTCCCGTTCAATGAGATCGATAGTGAGATCGATTGAGTCAGATGCCGGTTCCCCCCCTTTCACCCCCCCCACTACCTCCTTATCACCCGAAGGGTGGTCGTATAGGCATGTATCCTGACTCAATCGATCTCACTATCGATCTTACTCAACGGGACACCACGGGACACCACGAGACAGCACGGGACACCACGGGACACCTCGGGACACCACATCGATCTCAGTATCGATCTCACTATCGATCTCACACAACGGGACGCCACGGGACACCACGAGCCACCACGGGCCACCACGGGGCAACACATCGATTTCAGTATCGATCTCACTATTGATCTCAGTATCGATCTCAATCAACGGGACACCATAAGACACCACGGGACACCTCGGGACACCACATCGATCTCACTATCGATCTCACTATCGATCTCTCTCAACGGGACACCATGGGATACCACGGGACATCACGGGACATCTGCCAATGTCACTATCGATCTCACTCAACGGGACACGACGGGACACCTCGGGACACCACATCGATCTCAATATCGATCCCACTATCCATCTCACTATCGTTCTCACTCAACGGGGCACAACGGGACACGGGACACCTGTCGATCTCACTATCGATCTCACTTTTTGGGACATCAGGGGACACCGCGGGCCAACGCCGGACGGACGGACGGACGGGGGAGAATCATTCGTCTTGACTTCGCGCTAGCAGCGGCGGACACCACGGGACACTGCGGGACACCGCGGGACACCGCGAGCCACCGCCGCACGGACGGACGGACGGGGGAGAATCATTTGTCTCGACTTCGCCCTAGCAACGGCGGACACCACGGGACACCACGGGACACCGCGGGACACCGCGGGACACCGCCGGACAGACGGACGGACGGGGGAGAATCATGTGTCTTGACTTCGCCCTAGCAACGGCGGGTTCATTCCTCTCGCGCGCCCACGCAGCTTCGACTCGCCCACACGCGCGACACGAACGAAACGAAACGATTTTCCGGTTGGGGGTCTCCGTTCCACTGCGACCTCACCCCCCAACCTCTGATAACTATGTGATGCAATCTATGTGGTGTAATCTATGTGGCGATACATGTTGTATGCAGTCTTAGCGGGGATTTTGATTTTGTACAGAATATGCTGTACAATCTATGACGTGCACTCTCTGTGGTGTAGTCAACGTTGTGCATTTTAAGTTGTGCAGTATATGTGGTGTAATTCACGTGGTGCAATCTATGCGGTGCAATTAATTTCTGTTCGCAATGAGTTATCCACTCCACTGCTCGCGCAAACATCCCACCCACCCACCCGCAACTTGGTTTGCAAAATCTCTTAAGACCGTGACGATGGGTACCACATGGCACTTGGCAACAACAGCGACGCCGACGACGACAGCGACAACGACGATGACGACGCCGCCGACAACGACTACGACGACACCGACGACGTCTCCAACGACTTCGACGACGCCGACAACGACGACGACGACGACGACGACGACGACGACGACGACGACACCGACGCCGACGACGACGACGATGACAACGACGACGACGATGACGACGCCGACGACGACGATAACGACGACACCGACGACGACGACGACGTCAACGACGCCGACGACGACGACGACGACGACGACGACGGCGGCGACGACGACGACGCCGACGTCGACGACGACGAAGACGACAACGACGCCGACGCCGACGACGACGACGACGACGACGACGTCGCCAACGAAGACAACGAGGAAGGAGGGAGGACGACGACGGCGACAACGACGACAACGACGAGGGAGGAGGGAGGACGGCGACGACGCGAACGACGAAGAAGGAAGGACGGCGACGCCGACGACGGCAACGACGAGGGAGGAGGGAAGACGACGACGACGACAACGACGACGACGACGACGGCGACGAAATAGGAGGGACGACGACGAGACGCCGACGACGGACGAGGACGACGACGAGGGAGGAGGAGGAAGGACGACCACGGCGACAACGACGACGGAAACGACCACGACGCCAAAGAGGACGACGACGGCGAACACGATGAAAGACAGAGGACGACGTAGGCGACGACGACGACGACCACAACGACGCGGGAGGAGGGAGGACGGCGACGACGACGACGACGCAAGAGCGCGCGCGCACGCTTTTGTTGAAAATCCGTGCTGCGAAACCTTGTGTGTTTGTAGGTTGTTTGGACACACGATTTTGAAATCCTTCCGAAACCGATGGGTTTTGAGAGTTTTCGGCATACGCGCGCGACGACGCGCGCGTCTGCACTTCGTCCCATTTTTTGCATGGGATTCTCGCGACGGCACACGCGCAAGGGCGTTCGACAGATTTCGACATGAGCGCGCGCGAAGCCCGTTTGGTAGCATTTGGTGAAAATCTTGAAAAACCTGTGGTTTTCTTAAGATTTCGCAAGAGAGCTTTCGCGGAAGCTTTTTTAGCAACTCTGTGTTGCGAAACCCTATGTTTTTGTATGTTGTTTGGAAACTCGATTGCGAAATCCTTCCCGCACCGAAGGTTTTTGAAACATTTCGGCATGCGCGCGCGACGACGCGCGCGTGTGCACTTCGTCTCATTTTTGCAAGGGATCCGTGAAAAGTGCTATGTCAGGACAAAAAATGTCACCGCAAAATGTTTTGTACAAGGGAACCTCAGGGGGGGGGACCAGGCCTGCCTGGGATGGTATGATTTCATATTCCGGATGGACGAGTGTGCAGAAAATATATGAAATCATACTATCCCAGGGCGAAGCGTTAAGTCCGGGGGGAGGGGGGGGGGTAGAGTCTATTCTCTGTCTAGAAAGGAGAATGTATTTTGAGCAATCTATGCGGTGCAATCAACGGGCGACGACGGGGCGGCGACGGGGCGCCGACGGCGAGCACGGAACCGCCAGACCGCCAGCCAGGCCCAGACAACGGGCGGCAAAGAGGCGGCGACGGTGCGGCGACGGCGAGCATGGAACCGCCGGACCGGCAGCCAGGCCAAAATCCTTAGAGGAGAAGAGAGGACCCCTAAGTGCAAGCTTGGGGGATATGAATACTAGCTTCCTCTATACCCTGACTTCGTGCGGGCAATATCCCGCCCCGTCCCCGCAAGGTTTCTCCAAAGAGAAGCTTCAAACACTATCATGCAATCTGGTTTTTGGCCACCCGTTCGTTTCCTGAATTCCAGCATGGTGCAATCTAGAGGAAAGAGAACTTTGCACATACAGATTCTGGCCAGGCCCATCCTGAGCCCAGGATCGGTGCATACAACCTCTTACCTTGGCCAGGAAGGTATATGCACCGATCCTGGGTGAAAGATGGACGTTGCACTTGTCTGGATCACACGTTTTGTTTCATCGATGTCGCCTCCCTCATTTCCCTTCTTCCGCCGTCCCTTGTCATCCTGCTCCCCCCGCCCCTTCCGTTCCGATTCTTTTTGCTGCTCTCCGTCACGGCCCCCTCCTTCCACATCCTCCTCTTTCTCCTCCCGCTCATCATTCTGTTCACCCGCAGCCTCTTCCTCCTCCTCCTCCTCCTCCTCCTACTCCTCCGCCTACATTTGCAACTCCCGTCATCCGATAGTGAAAAGCAGGATTGACTTGTGGTTCTTATCGGAGGTCGGCGCTGACACGCGTTTGCGGGTAGAAACAGATCCAGGCGAAGGACCCTACCGCATACAGCTGCGAGTATCGCGAGGAAGGTGAGACGCATGAGGGGGGCTCAACAGAAAGACTGGGGCGCGGAGGAGGAGGAGGAGGAGGAGGAGGAGGAGGATGAGGAGGGCGAATGATGGCACGCGAGGGCAGGGACGACGAGCAATCGGGCGCTCGGAGAGCCTTTTCTCTTAGGCGCCCGCAAGATGCAAGGTCGTCACCAGCAAAGGGGCCGAACGCAAAGGAGTCCCCGCGACGCGCGTTGGTCGCTGGCGGGCAATCGAAGGAAGTCATGGGGCCACGAAACATGTGAGGGGTGCGCCGAAATGGGCGGGGAGCCTTATGCGAAACCTGCCACTGCGGCCTTCGGTTGAGCACTCCTTGAGGTCACAAAACCACGAAACGTGTCAGGGGACCTTGCCTGGAGTGCGCTCCGACTAGGATCTCGAAGCAAATCCTGCCGTGGCGACGAGGACCTCCAAGAAGGCCCAGAAAAGCAAAATCGAAGCAAAGATAGCGTTATCGGTACTTTTTACTCCCCACGTCGTGATTCTTTTCCAACGTGACCCCCGGAGGACTCTCTCGACCCCTTCCCTCGGACTGGCTTTTCCTCTTGAGCCGTTTTGTGACGGTCCCGGGGCCGGAAGCGGTGAACAAAAAACGTCTTGATTGTGTCAGGCCCTCCTCCCCTGGTCCTTGTCCTGGGGAGCAGGGATTTAGATGATGTTGAAAATGATAAGGGTGCAAATGTTGTCAACATATCGGTGTTCGGCCAACCAAAACGGAACAAACAAATCAGCAACTAGAAAATGCAACGCTAACCAGAAACAACACGGCAATACAAGATGGAACCGAACCGAACCTGGCGCGGACGAGAATCAAACAATGGGGAACATCTAACCCCAAAACAGAAAATATCGTCGATCTTAAAAGCGGGAGATACAACAGCGTTTACCATGGGAACCGCGCGTACATACACCAAGATATCTGGGCCCTGTGGCACGGGGCGGTATGCATACTTCTGGTCCTTCCTCTGGGCGACAGGTGTTGTAACAAAAATCTGTGCTCTCGGTTTGGGTCGCCATGTGCCCCTAAATGGTGAACAGACCTAACATACTAAGATAGTGGATCTGTTCCCGGTCCTGGTTCAACCTCAACTTCGGGAATCTACTGACCCGGGCCAATCCAATCCCGAATCACTCAGGCCTTGCAGGAGCCTGCATGCAACACCCTGCAGGATCCCGCGCGCCATCCCGGGTCGCCCTGATCCTGCAAAATTCGGCACTCTGGCTCTGGCTGACCCCCGTTTGCACTGACACCCGTCTCTTTGGACGCCCGAAATGGGAACGGAAAGAATGGGTACAATGCCCAACAACAAATGTTGTCCCAGACCAACAGCGGCCGCTATTGGGCAGGCGGCCCTCTGTCTCGAATGGACACAGGCCGCGGCGGCGTAGACAGCGGGTCCTGTTCAGAATGAACTGGATCCGCTGTTGGGCATTGTACCCATTCTTTCCGTGCCCATTTCTTGGACGCCCGAGTTATCCGGGGTAACTCGGGTCCGAGGTAACTCGGGTTTGGGTTCCCGAAAAACGAACCCGAGTTAGCCCTGACCCGAGTTACCCCTGATGATTCGGGACCCTGGACGCCCGAGTTATCCGGGGTAACTCGGGTCCGGGATAACTCGGGTTTGGGTTCCCGAAAAACGAACCCGAGTTGACCCTGACCCGAGTTACCCCTGATGATTCGGGGCTCTGAATTTCGGGCGTCCAGAGTCTCATGCAAGGCTCCCGACAACTGAGGGCAAGGAGGCCCCGGCGTCTCCAGGTCGATCAGCAGCGCCGCCGACGACTGCTTCGAGCCGCGCGCCAGCCCCGCGTCGGTGCGGAGCTGCGGCTCCTCGTCGCGGGCGCGGCGGGGGGCGAGAAGGAGGAGGAGGCAACGGGATGGGGAGAGGAGGGGAAGGAGGGAGGGGAGGATTTGTTTTTCTCTTCCTCCCCGCACATCGCTCCACCATCACGCAACCGCTTGACTGGAAGGCAACATGCCCCGGATCCACCAGCCCGCCGAAGATGAACCGAAGGCGTCCAGCGTTGAAACGTTTCCCCAGCAGCACTCTGTTTGGAATCCGCTGTCGGGGGAAGGAGGGAGAGGAGGAAGCGAGGGAGGAGGGAATAGAGGAATAAGCACACCTGCATCAACATGAGACCTCGGAGGTCCGCGCGAATGTCTTGGATCGGCACCAGAAGCGCCGCCAGGGGAGCCCAACGAAGAAGATGAACGTAGGCGGTCAAGAACCAAAATCGGGCCTGGCGAAAGGGGGGGATAGCAAAGCGGGGGTTTGAGAATCAGCTCGCGTAACTGACTTTCCCGGCGCCTCCCGGCGCCAGAGGCGGCTATGTATCGAGGAATGGGTCCCTCGGTGAGCAGATTTCGTACCCCCCCCTTTCCCAATCCCCCCCTTTCGTCCGGCCCGACAAACGAGAAAGACGGGGTCTGGTGACTCGATCACCAGCCGTTGCAACAGCGAGGTTGCCACTCCTGCGTCGACATCTCGGTTGCCACCAAAGGCATCGAGGAGGGGAGGGAGAGGAGGAGGAGGAGAAGGAGGAGGAGGAGGAGGAGGAGGAGCATGGGGGAACAACGCTTGGTCGGGTGGGATGAAAAAGGGTTGAAAACCATGTTACATTCTGCTTTATTATTCGGCAGTAAATGTCTATGCGAGAACGCGCGCAAAACGTGATTGGACACTGGTGCTGCAAAACCATGTGTTTGCGGGACACATGATTTTGAAAAACCGTCCGAAACCTAAAATGTTTCACAGGCTCTGACATGGGCGCGCGACGGCGCGCGAGTGCGCACGTCGTCCATCTTTTGCGAAACGAAGCTTTTAATATAGATGATTTTGGCAATGACATGTGGGTGCATAATGTTTTTTTGGCTGGGATGCAACGAGTTGATATCGGGCCGGGCGAAAGGGGGGGATAGCACAGGGGAGGTTTGAGAATCAGCTCGCGTAGCTGATTTTCCCGGCGCCTCCTGGCGCAAGAGACGGCTATGTATCGAGGAATGGGCCCCTCGGTGGGGCCGAAACCAGCTGCATGCAGCAGATTTCGTGCCCCCCCCTTTCCCAATCCCCCCCTTTCGTCCGGCCCGGTGATATTCCGAATCAACGATGGGGCAGAATCAAATGTAACATGCCAATCCTTGCATTGCATCCTCGGGGGACCTCGTCTGTCCCGTCGCGACCCTATCCGCGTCGAATCCGTGTCGAATCCATGTCGGCCTCGTCGGATCCGTGTCGAATCCGTGTAGAATCCGCGTCGAATGCCCGCCAAATCCGCATCGAGGCCGCATCGAGCCCGCGCCAGGCACAAAAAAACACCAATTTGGGGGACAGGCGGGGTCCCCCGAAGATGCAACGTAACAATCCCCGGGGTGGGCGGTTAACGGTTAATCCGCGCCGCGGGGTGTGCGGGGGGGGGGTAGCTCGTGTGTGTGTGGGGGGGTAGCTCAAGTTTGCTGTCGGGCGGCAGCGACGGGCGGCGACGAGGCGGCGGCTCGGGCGGCGATGGGCGGCCACAAGCCCGCCGGACCAGCACACTCGCCATCGCTCGGACGTCCATTCCCTGTGCTTTTTTCGGTTTCGTGCGTGATTTTTCGCCAAACGATCAAGGATGCTCCTCGATGGTCCTCGCCGAAAGAAAAATGCACACGTCCGAGCGATGCCGAGAGGCGGGCGGCGCGACGGGCTGCGACGGGCGGCGACACGGGGCCGGACGGGTGGCGGCGACGGGCGGCGCCGAGCAGCAACGGGGCGGCCACAGAGCGGCCGGGGCGGCATGCCGTCCCCGGAGGGGAGGAAGCCAGGAAGGCCGTCGCCGTGCTCGGGCCGTGCCTGGGGGCGATCCACGGGCCCAGGGGCCATCCAACTGACGGGGCCCCAAGACACACAAATAAATACACACAAATAAAAATATGCCCCATATTTTCCTATATTTTCTCTGTTTCTGTCTTCCCCCCCACTTCCCGTATTTTCCTATATTTTCTTGGGAATCGATGATTCCTTGTGTCTGTGTGTTTCTTTTCCTCCTGACCAACAGCGACTCGGGATGAGCTGGTGCGGGGGGAAGCCATGGGTTCTGGGGCATGGTTCCATCAGGAACCCTTTCTCTTCCTTCTGACTTGGGCAGGGTGCGATGGCCAGCGCCGCGACTGGCGATGGCCACGGGGGCCGCCCAGGAGAGCAAGATACCCCAAAAACTTCGAAGAGAGCACTGAAGTGCATGATCCCACCGCCATGCATATCTTATAGCTCGCTGGGGGGATACGAGGCCCGCGCGTTTAACGGCGCTCTCGCTCGTCTTATGAGCTTGCCTTCACGCCTGTCTGTTCAATACAGGACTCTCGCTTGAATGGCATGCACAGAATGTGCTCGTCTTTCAGGGAAGCCTGCAAGGACCTGTAAGGGTGGAACTTGAAACGGGAGTGTGCGTTGCAGCATCGCTGGCACACCTTACTCGGTTTGGCGAACTTGCTTTAGGTCGGGAATGTCCTCCTACAGGGTAATTTGGGGCGAAAAAAAACAGAACACACACACCACACATACTCAAACATAAATCAAACAATGCAAACAAAAATCGGCCCCAGACTGTTTTTAAAACTATTTTCGAATGTTCCTCCTGTAGAGGGACAGGCCCGACAGAAAAACTAGCTTTCAAACGTCAGCGTGGATGTTCTTGAACAGCGCTGGACCCCCCTCCCTGGCGCGTAGAGTGCGCCAGGGGCCGCGGCGCAAGGCACGCCGCCGGGGGAGTCCAGCGCAAATCCCAAAAATCCGCGCAGACCTTCGTCGAAATGGAATATCTATGAACCCAAACCACCACATCCCAAATCCCAGAAATCGCGCAGACCTCCCCAATCCCAAAAACCCGCGCAGACCCCAATCCCCGAAATCCCCACATCCCAGGAATCCGCGCAGACCCCAAATCCCAGAAATCGCGCAGACCTACTAAGGTGGAGCAAACACAATACCGATGGCACACCGCCGCGGGACACCCGTCACCTTGTCACTCGTGAGCAATGAAACGCCATGCCGTCGGCCAAAACGAAGGAGAAAGACGCCGGCGGGTTCCCGTAGGCGGCGTGTTGTTGATACATACCTTACTCTTTTCTGGCCATCGCTCGGACCCCCAGCGCGGCTCCGAGGAATCCGCGCGGAGCTCCGAGTTTTCATGTCCATGCCAGGGCTCGTCCCCTGCGCATCGATATGTTTCGCGATGACGCCCGTGGCAGGCACCGAACCCCCCGTTCCACGTCACGCTTCGCGCCACCGCCGGTCTGGAAAGGAACCATCCCTCACTATGCATTCCCAGACGGCGTCGGCGCGTATCGTTGCGTGACTGGTCGCGCCCGTTGGCGCCAGGGGGTGCAACGGAAGCAAGGTCCGCTCATCGTGGTGTCCCCCCGCGGGGCCTCGAAGTCGCCGAACACGAGCGCCTCGGAGTGCGGCGACGACCTGGCGCCGACGCAGCTCGTCAACGCCGGGTCTTCGTCTGGCCTCGTGCGCGCGCGCGCGCGAGCGGGGACGCGCGGCACCGCCGAGCACCCCGCGCCCGCCCACCTTCCGAATGCTGTTCGTCCTCCACCGATTCCTTCCACTTCGTCCTCGTCCTCCTCGTCCTCCTCGTCGTCCTCCTCCTCCACATGATCCCCCTCCTCATGTTCCTCCTCTTCATTCCCGCCTTTTTCCTCGTCGTCGTCCTCCCCCTTCATCCCTATTCTTTCTAACGCTCGAACAACCAACCAACTAACTAGCTCCTCCCTGTCGCACCCCCAGGCGTGTCCGTAGGGCGTGCCCGGCGGTTCCCAAAGACTTCCTCAACATGTGCGATCACGAACCTTGAAATTCCCAACCGTGGCACGGATGGAAGGCGGGTGGTTTTCAAAATGCGGATCTCGTTCTAGCGCCGCGAACAGCCGCTTAACATGCTGCCGCAATTTCAGGGAGGGAGGGCGGCTCTTCTTCAGCATGGGGTCTTGTCATCTGCTGAAGATGCAAGGGAGCCGTCATGAACTCAAACTCAAAATATGATGTCGTGGCACGATTTGGACCATCGGGATGCAGCCGTCACGTTGACTCGCGGTGTTGAGGTTCCGAAAAGGCCCTGTAGCACGACCCAGGCTTCCCAAACGTGCGTCCTCGAATTGGGCCGCCTCTGGCAACGACATCTACTGTGTGTGGGCTTGTGAACAAGGAGGGCGTATTACAACATTGTTAATGCGTTTTTCGGGGAGACGTAAGACCCCGGGTACGGGGGACTCGGAAATCCCCGACGAGGTCGTCAAAAAAATGACGAGGCCGAGCCTGCATTTTGACGAGGCCTCCCGCTGCAGACATCCCACGAAACTCCTCCTCGTCAAAATCCGAGGCGCGGTCGTCAAAAAACGATGGCGAACCCGAGTCCTGGCAAACCCGGGTCTTACGCTCCCCCGAGTTTTGTGTTTACAGAGGTTCTCTTTTCCCCCATCCCCCCGCATGCTGCTAGTCGTCGTCGTCCTCTTATTCCGCCTTCTCCTAAAAAGGTCACTGGTCATTCCCGAAATGGCGTTCCTGCCCTGAGGCCAAGGTTTCTCCCCAGAGAAATGTTAGAAAGCTGCCTTCAATAGCCCGCGACAATCCTGCCCATATATTTCTGAGCAGGTAACGCGGCGCTGCGGTCGTAATCCAATACGCACGCTCACAAACGCCCCGTTCTGTTCCGCTCCGTTCCGTTCCGGTCCGGTCTGGTCCGTTCCTCCTCCTGCTCCTCCTCCTCCTCCTCCTCCTCCTCATCGTTCTCCTCCTCCTATTCCTCATTCTCTTCCTCTTCCTCCTCCTCCTCCTCCTCCCAACGAATCCTGCCGCTCATCCTCCCCGCACATTTTTCCCTGATCTCCCCCCACACACACTCGCAACTGCCCCCTCCCTCCCGCCCGCCAGCTCCAGCTCCGACAGCCCAGGAGCCCACCAAAGTGGCGATAGTTTCATTGATCGCAGACCCCAGGGGACGGCAGGGTCTCGTGGTGATCTGCATAGGACGTACCTCCGCTGGGCCGCCCAGGAGCCCATGAAAGTGGCGACAGTCCCGCAGATCGCAGCCCCCAGGGGGCGACGAGGTCTCGTGGTGATCTGCGACGTACCTCCGCTGGGCCGCCCAGGAGCCCACGAAAGTGGCGACAGTTCCGCAGATCGCAGCCCCCCCACGGGACGGCGAGGTCTCGTGGTGATCTGCAAGACCACGACGCTTTCGCAGATCGCAGCCCCTCAGAGGACGGCGAGGTGTCGTGGTGATCTGCATCGGACGTACATCCGCTGGCCCTCCCAGGAGCCCACGAAAGAAGCAACAGTTCTGCAGACCGCAGCCCCCCAGGGGACGGCGAGGTCTCGTGGTAGTCTGCAAGACCACGACAGTTTCGCAGATCGCAGCCCCCCCAGGGGGACGGCGAGGTCTCGTGGTGACCTGCATCGGACGGTCGGACGTACCTCCGCTGGCGCTCCCAGAAGCCAACGGAAGTGGCAACAGTTCCGCAGATCGCAGCCTCCCAGGGGACGGCGAGGTCTCGTGGTGATCTGCATAGGATGTACCTCCGCTTGGCCGCCCAGGAGCCCACGAAGGTGGCGACAGTTTCGCAGATCGCAGCCTCCCATGGGGTGGCGAGGTCACGAGGCAGGGAGGAGGAGGACGAGGAGGAGGAGGAGGAGGATGAGGAGGAGGAGGAAGAAGGAAACGAGGAGGAGGAGGAGGATAATGAAGGGAGGAGGAGGGGGAGGAGGAGGAGGAGAGGAGAGGGAGGGGGAGGAGGAGGAGGAGGAGGAGGAGGAGGAGGAGGGAGGAGAGGAGGAGGAGGAGGAGGAGGAGGAGGAGGAGGAGGAGAGCAGGAGGAGGAGGAGGAGGAGGAGGAGGGAGGAGGAGGAGGACCTCCTCATCCTCCCTTTTCCCTCGCACTACCCGTAGCAGTGGTGGGAAATTTGCCCATCAGGGGGGGCCGTGAGATCGTCGCCCGCGGGTCTTCCAGCCACGCTCCACACCCCTGAAGCGCGGGCGCAAGACCCGCTGCACGGGCGGAGCAGATGGCCGCGCGGGGGGCAGGGCAGGCGAAACGAAACGGGGAGGCAGGGCGAAGGTTCCCTCCTCCTCCTCCTCCTCCTCCTCCTCCTCCTCCTCCGCCTCCTCCTCCGCCTCCGCCTCCGCCTCCTCCTCCTCCTCCTCCTCCGCCTCCTCCAAAAGCTTAACTCTGTGAGTTTTCTCCCTGTCCTGATCAAAACGAGAGAGATACTGATGCCGCCACTCCCGGGACCTCTCCCGGAGGTGCGCTCTGACCCGAATTTCGAGGCGACTCCAGCCGTGGAAGAGAGGGCCCCCCAATGACGGGCAGCGGCATCGGCATACCTCGCCCTTCCCTGACCTACCCCCCCTCCCTTCCCCACGTGTCGCCCTCTTCGCCGCGACCCCCCCCCCGCGCCCCCCTGCCGGGCGCCCGGAGCCAGCCTGTACACCGCGTCGAGATCCGCCTGCGGAGGGGGGGCGCGCGCGGGCCTTCGGCCCCCCGCTGCTGGCACTCGGAGGCCGATGCGCGGGGGGGAGGGCGCAGGATAGACGGGCGCACTCCACGACTCGCAGAGGAACTGCTCGCACGCGGCCTGGATGATCCGCCGCGGGGGATGTATGATCCATGACACCGAGGCAAGCAAGTTTGTGTTCTCGGACGTCTTCGAGTAGGCACCTTGCGAACAGTGGGACGCACTCGGTGAGAGAGAGAGGGGCGAGCCGCCAGAAGGCGTCCTCCTCCTCCTCCTCCTCCTCCTCCTCCTCATCCTCCTCCTCCTCCTCCTCCTCCTTCTCCCCCCTCCTCCCCCTCCTCTTCCTCCCCCTCCTCTTCCTCCTCCTCCTCCTCCCCCTCCTCTTCCTGCCCCTCCTCCTCCTCCGAGCACACCGGCGCCCGCGGAGCGTGAGGCCCGGGGCGGCGGAGAGGCAGAGAGCCCGGGAGGCGGGCGGGGCACCAAGGAGGCTTGGCGCCTCGGGCCCCTGGGACCCAACAGCTTGCCTGCGGTAGGTTCGCGTCGTGTCGACCAGCGGCGACCCCGCTGCCGGCGTTCAACGTCGAGCGTCGGCGGCGACCCAGAATCGGTCGGTGTTGAACGATCAGACGTTCCAGGAGGGGCCGATCGTTCAAGGTTGAACGATCGGCCGTTCCATAAACGCCGGATCGTTCAACGACGGGCCGATTCTGGGCCACGGGCGGCGGTCAACCTGAAAGGCACGCGCTGGGGTCGAAACCGGTCGACACGACACGAGGCGGAGGAGGGAGGAATGCCTCCCATTGCCCCTCCGCCTCATCCAACTCCCCTCTCCTCCTGCTCTGCTCCTGATCGTGCTCTGCTCCTACCTCTCCGTCTTGCATCACGTGCTCTGTGCCTCCTCATCATCTTCACCACCATCGTCATCGTTCTCCTCCCCCGCGTCCCTCTCGTCTCCCTCCCCCCCTCCTCCGCAAGGAAGAGAAGCACCTCGGGAGAGCCACGCCCTGGAAGCTCCCGGGACGGCCAGGAGGCCTGCACCTCCGGCGGGACAGGCCGAGGGGAGCCACGGGGCCCCCTTGTGGTCGGGCTGCTCAGCCGGGGACCGCCCAGCAAGGGACGAAGGCCCCCTCCTGGCCCCCTCCTCCTCCTCCTCCTCCTCCTCCTCCTCCTCCTCCTCCTCCTCCTCCTCCTCCTCCTCCACGTGGACGATGAGCGCCAGAGACACCGCCACGGAAGGACCTCCAGAGCATCGAGCTCGTCCCGGACCCAAACTGTTCCTGGCTTCGGCGTCCTGGCTGCAGCCCGTGTCCCTGGGGCCGCCCCGCTGGAACGGCCCAGGCCCACGGCTGGCTCCGCCGATCGCCGTGAGCTGGTCTGCTCCGAGTGCTCGGCAGCTCTGGAAGTCTTCTAGGCCCTGGCGGCGGAGCCTGCGAGGCGGCGACCCCGACCACAGGGCTCCGAGGGCAGAGATGGCCAGCACGCCTGTGCGGCAGGAGTACACCGAGTGCCCCCAGCTCTCCGAGGAGAGGGGCACTTTGGAGCGCTTCCTCGTCCAGCCTTCCTCTTCCCACCTGGGAGGTGCGGACCTCTGTTCTCTGTGCTTAGTAAGAATCCCCCTGCCCCGCCAGATTGGCGACAAGCCAGGTACAGTGCCCCCCCCCCACCATCCCTGTCACAAATATAACCAGCTAAAAAGCAGTTGCGGAACAAATGAGGGTTTGGGCTCCGGCGCCCCGCCATCAACTTACATCACTATTTGACAGGCGCGACAGGGGGAGGGGAGGGCATCGCAGCGCCCCGAGGGTGTGGGCCCGCCACCTCCATCCTTAAAACCGATGCACAGGCACGCTGCAACAACGTCCTGGAATCTGCGAGGACTCGAACGATGTCAGGCTCGGCTTGGCTCAGGATGCGCTCCAGGAGTCCCAAGAAGTGTCTGCAGGCCCTCTCGTCTCTGCAGCCCGTGGAACATGAGGACACCTTTAGAGGGGCCCAGGGACACAGAAATAGAAAGACACACATCCTAGGACTCCATATATACATATATATGTATATCCGCATATGTTAAGGAATCTCGTCTCCCCCCAGTACCCATAGTTTCCGATAACTTCCTGGGAGAATTTTCCTGGGAGACGACGGTTGCTTGTGTCTGTGTCCCCTTGTCCCTCCTGAGCCTCGGGAATCATGGGAAGCCTGAACACGTGTGAGCGTATTCTTGTCATGCCCTCCTGCTCGGCTGACCTGCGCGGGACACGCGCTCTCTTGCGAAATCTTAAGGACAACCATCGGGTTTCAATATTTTCCAGAAAATGCTACCAAACGGGCTCCGCGCGCGAGCATGTCGAAATCGTTCGAACGCCGTTGCGCGCGCGCCATCGCGAAAATCCTCTGCAAAAATGGGACGACGTGCGCGCGCGGGACAGTCGAGACGCGGAGACAAGGATAAGGGTTCCACATGTGTTTTTTCGATGTTGCCCGACCCCCCCCCCACTGGAAATCGAGGGTGAATCTGAGCCTTCGGGTTCGGTTGGGGTGGTTTGGTGGGTGGTGACTGACATGCGCGGGACGGTCGAGACGCGGCGGCCAGGGACCACGTCGGGCCCAGGCCGCTCCTCTTGGGCCCAGGGGGTCCGGGAGCCTCTCCCCGCGCCGTGGCCGCGGCTCGCTCGCCGCCGGCGTGGCCGGAGAGAGACCCGCTCGTGGCCTCCACGGCGACGGTGCAGTCGGGGCCTGGACCTAAAAGGGGCCCAAAATGAGGAGCGAGGCCCCCTTGTTTCCAGAAGTTGGACTTCGATTTCCCACGGAAAACAGAAGGAAAAGCCGAGGCAAGCTGCGAAACACGTAAGGAACGCAGAGCCCCCTCCCCAACGAAAAGGGTTCCTTCTTCAGGGCCCCGACTGTATGCTGAGACTCGGGTGCGGCTTGCGTGGTGGGAGGGTGGTGGGAGGGGACGACCGTCCTCGAGGGGCGGGGAGCTTGATTCCCACCCTCTTCTCCTTTCGGGTCGCGAGGTCGATGGAGGGAGTTCAGGAAGGCCTCAGCGAGAAGGAGAACGCAAGGTCTTGAACTTCTGCGCTGGGCCAAGTTTGGCCTCATCCTGGGTTGGGCCAGTCCAGCGGGGGTGGGGTTGGGGCAACGCGGGACCCCCCCCCACTTTGATCGACAGCCTCCCGGATGGCCCGAAGACGACCCGAACGGCCTTCATGAAGGGGCCCAGGGACACACAAATGAAGACGCACATATCCCAGGGTTCCCCTTACTAGTTTCTTACATGTTCATAATGTTCGTCTTCCCCCCCACTCCCTGTAGTTTCCCATACTTCTTGAAGTCGACATTCAATGGTGTTTGTGTGTACTTTCCCCTCCTGACCTCAAGAGAGCCACAAGAGGCCCCCAAAGAGGCCCTCTTCGGCCCACGCAGGCCCCCGACATCTCCAAACGATGCCGCGCTCCCCCGTTCAGGGCAGCTCCGCGGGGCATCGCTTCTGGATGGGATGGTGGGGACACGCGATCGGAAGCTGGGCCAAGGCTGGCAAATCCGTGGCTGCTAAAACGGTTTTCCCGGAATGAGAAAACAAATCCCTTGTATTCAACTCAGCGCGCTGACTAGTAAAAGGGCTGCTTCCTGTAAAAACAAAAAACGCAGTCCCGGAGATCCGTTTTAGCAGCCACGGGTTTGCCAGCCTTCCCCTGGCTGGCTTCTGACACGAGGCGTTGCAAATTCTGGCACAAAGCAGCGTCATCCCCTGATGCGGGGACCGCGGGGTATGACTCGGGTTCCTCCCTCGCCTGCTGCAGCTGATGGGAATGGCCCCGGCTATGGGTCCCGGGGCCGCTCCCCTGGGCCCAAGAGACAGGCGGGCAAATCACACGATCGGCAGCCTCGAGGGCCGCCCGCATCTACGCGCGAGCTCCTAGCCCTAACCGGGGCCTCACCGTAGCTCCCGAAACAGCCGGCCGCCAGCATTGACGAGATCCTCGTAGAGATGGGTGAGCAGGAGCGAGGGGCGGGCCGTGGAGAGCGAGGAAACAGGATGAGCCAGCATGACGACGAGCCAGTAGGAGGACGATCCACACAGGGGAACGAAGAGGATAATATCGAGCGCGGCTGGAGGAAAAGGGAGGAGGAGGAGGAAACAGTGGGAGACGACGGGATAGAGGCGAAGGGGGAAGAGCCAGGATGATGACAAGTCATCGGGAAGATGAATTAGCTGGGAGGATACGCGGACCGTAGATCATCATGGGGGATGAGGATGCAGCACGGAAGATGGAGGGGGGACGACCCGACATGGCTCCCAAACTCGAGCAAGCCACATTACTCATCAGATGGGATTTGCTGATCCACATTCGGTTCTCCCGTCGTCGCTGGGTTTTTCGCGCAACGAAAGGCTTTGGCCTTCAGCCCAGGCCTCGGGCCGCAGGGATCCGGGAACCCCCGGAACACTCCTGGCGGGGCGCAGATGCTGGGAAACATCCCGAAGATGGCAAACACCCAAAAACCGACAGACAACTCATCGGGAGCGGCCAGGGGGGGGTCCAAAAGGGGGGGTGCAAATCATGACCGGCGGCACGTGCGCGGCCCAGCGGGGGGGCCAGGGACGCAATGAAACAATAAGGGGCGCCATGAAATCTGGGGAAATATCATGGCCCCCGCCATGATATCCCCCCCCCTAGACAATTACTCAATATGAAAATACTCTCCCTCTTCCCCTGATGGCGTCCGGGTGATGGCCGCGCACCCTCCGCGTACTGTTTTTTACACACAGGATCCCCAGGAAATCCCGGGAAACGACTCTCGCTGAGGCGCCGGCGTCATTTTTTCCCAAAATGCTGCTCTCGTTGAGGCGCCGGCCTCATTTCTGCTCCCGAATCGTTCCGAATCGTGCTCCCGCTGCAGCGTGGGCCTCATTTTCGGATCGGTGTTTGGCCTCCGTCGTTCAGGATGGCGTTCTCGCCCCAGCGCGGGCCTTTTTTCTCGCGCGCCCATCCGCC